ACTTCCTAAAACCGTTGTTGGGCACTCCTGCGGGTTTTCACACGATTAACTCCCAACGAAGAAGTTCCCTCAGTTTGAAACGCACCCCTGTAGGAGCCTCTGAAGAGGGAGCTTGGGGGAAGGGCATATTCCTGCATCGTTGATGAGCCTTGGGTTTACACTGGTTCTCCTCCTCCTCCTCCTCTGCCTCCTCATCCTCATCCCTCATCCCTCGTCCGTCATCCCTCTCCCTCTCCCTCCTTCTCCTCCCTCGAAGGCTCCCGCAGCTGCTCTGGGGGCTCCAGCGCCTCGGTGGTGGCGGCCGGCAGCCAGCGGCCCTCCTGCGCGCCCGCCGCGGCTGCCAGACCGACCTCGGCGCCCCGGGCGGTCGTCGCAGATCGAAGGACCGACCGACCGACCGACCGACCAAAACGAAGACCACGACGACGACGCCGCCGCCGCCGACGACGCCGACGGCGACGACGCCGAAGCCGCCGCCGCCGACGACGACGTCGACGACGAGACTAAAACGCCGACGACGACGACGACGCCAACGACGACGACGACGACGACTAAAACGCCGACGACGACGACGACGCCAACGACGACGACGACGACGACGAAGACGACGACGACGGCGCCAACGACGACGACGACAACGACGACGACGACGACGACGCCGACGACGACGACGTCGGCGACGACGACGCCAACGACGACGAGGACGACGACGACGTCGACGACGACGACGACGACGCCACCGAGGACGACGACGACGACGACATCGACGACGACGACGCCAACTACGCCGACGACGACGTGGACGACGACGACGCCGACGCCGACGACGACGACGACGACGTCGACGACGACGTCGACGACGACGGCGATAACTGACTCAGACCGGGCGTGCTTCCACGGTCTCGGCCTGCAGGGAGCCGGCGCGGGCCCCGAGGGGGCCATCCAAGCTGGTGACGGGCGACAGACTTTACCCCTCCTCCTCCTCTATTATAATAAACCGACTCAATGACCGCCTAAAACATAGCTCCGCCCCTATCCCTTCCTATATCCCTCCCTTCCTATATCCCTGGCTTCGTCCGACCTCCGACTCAGCACTCACGAGCCTACCAGACTAATCAGCATCCTCGGCCTCCTTCCTCCTCACTCCAAATCATACGACTCCTTACGCACTCTCCACCGACCTACCTCTAACACTACTTCACGAAGAATTACTCCTCCTTCCTTGCTCCGCTGCATATACTACTAAGCCGACGACGCCTCCTCCTCCTCCCCCTCCTCCCCCTCCTCCTCCCAGCGGTCGGGACCCGTGGGGCCGCAGAGTGGACAGCAAAGAGCGGGGGACGTCCGGGGGCGTCGATTGATGGAGCGGTCCAGGGAGGTTTTGAGGCGGGCTCGGCTGTTTGTGGGGACCTCTGGAGGCCCCAAGGACCCCCATGCGCCCTCCACCTCGAGCTCCCGAGGAGAGCAAGGAGGGGGGAGTGGGGCGAACGGGGGAAGAAGAAGGAGAGAGGGAAGGGCAAGCCTGGCGCGGTCGCGCCATATCTGAGATCCACCGCTCCCCTCCCACCCAGCCTCTCCCATTGCGTGTATTCTTCCCGATCCACCTGCGGATGCGACCTAGATGAGCATCGTGTGATGCGCAATCAGACAGGGGACGTTGCACATTGGAATAGGAGACATACCGGATGAGCACGAGGATTTGCAGGACAAAGATCAGGATGAGGAGGAGGAGGAGGAGGAGGAGGAGGAGGAGGAGGAGGAGGACCAGCATCAGCATCAGGAGCAGGAGCAGGGGGAGGAGCATCACCATCAGCATCAGGACCATCGTGTGATGCGCAATCCGACAGGAAGGCGTTGTATATTGGAGGAGGAAAGGTAGCGGATGAGCAGGAGGATGTGCAGGACAAGTATCAGGATGATGCGGAGAGAGCATGGGGAGCAGCAGCATCAGGAGCAGGAGCAAAGAGAGGAGGAGGAGCAGGAGGAGCAGGAGAAGCAGGAAGAGCAGAAGGACCAGGGGGAGGCGGAGGAGGGAAGTGAGCGTGAGGACACGAGAGACGCCGCGCAAATTTGAGGCGGTAATAGAGAGAGGCGACTGGAAAGCAATCATGCACCCGCGACGCTCGCGTGGCACCATGGTTTGACGCAGCCAGTGCCGATTGCCATGGCGCACTGAGCGGCGTGCCCTGTCTGCCTGCTTCTCGATCCTGGCGACCGTGGGGTCGTGCAGTGCTCCAGTGTCTCGCACTGCCTGTGCGGGACGGGAAAATGACCACAGCCACTGCTTCTTGTTTGCGCCGCCTTCCAGCCGGCCGAAAAAGAAGCAGTGGCTGTGGTCATTTCCCTGGTGCCAAGCTTAACGATGACCACAACCACTGCTTTGATTCTGCTGGCTGGAAGGCGGCAACAAAAGAAAAGCAAAGGCTGTGGTCGTTTTCACGTCCCGTAGCCTGCTGGAGGTAGCCGGCGGACTCCATGTCCTTACGGGCCTGCTGCAGCAACCACTCCTTCCTCGCACCCTCCTCCGTGCCGGCGGCGAGGGCACCGTGCAGCTTCCTCCGGACCTGGTACAGGATGAACCACTTGAGCTCTTCGGCCACACCCGCGGGGATCTTGTCGAGCGGAGCCTCCTCCGCGGGCTCCTCCTCTTCGGAGGACCCAAACGCCGCCCCCCCCCCTTCAGAGCGACGCTCCCCCAGCCATAGGTTACCAGCCTGGAACATATCCCTATCCCTATGCTAGGCATCTCCGCATCACGATGCCAATCTTAGGGATTCCCTTATTTTTTTAGGGCGCATCCCTAAGATTGTCACCGCTTTTTGACACGTCAATCTTAGGGATAGGGATATGTTCGAGGCTGGTAAAGAGGGGGGAACGACAGGAGCCGGCGCCGCTACTCCTCCGACCTCTCTCCCGGGGCGCGCTCTGACCAGCATTTCCCAGCGAATCGGACCGGGGCGACGAGGGACGAGCATCCGTATCGGCATCGCTGCCTCTTTTGGCCCATGCGTGCCCCCGACGTCGTGTGATTGGTTCACGACGTCGACCCCCAGAGGTCTCTCGGCCCCTTCCCCGGGACCGGTTTTTCATCCTGGGTCGCTTTGTTGACGCTCCCGAGGCCCGACAAGAGGCTCCCCGAGGCCGAAGATGATGGAAACACCTCCCGTCGCGATTCGTTTCACAACGCGGGGGGGGGTCTGGGAGGGACGGGCATTTTTGTACAGGATCGGCACCTCTGCCTCTTGCGGAGCAGGGCCCTGGCCACGGCATGTGCCAAGACCCGGCCCTCCCGAGCGCCCCCCGAGGTGGGCCCCGAGGACCCGACTCCAGGGGACGTTGGCTCTCTGCGGTGCGTTCGGCTCCCCTGCCTCGGATCGGAACCATAACTTGAGGGATGAGAAAACGACCCTACCCTGGAGGGGGAACCTCCTGGGAACCCCCAAAGCCCAGAGGCGCCAGGACGCGGCACATCACGCAGCGTTTACCCTGTCAGCCCACAGGAGTTTCAGCGCACAGCGCCTCGTACATCAGGGGAGGGGCGTTTTTTTTTGCCATTGAATAACCCCAGAAGGACAGCTCGCATCGCAGCGCAGCAAGTCCGAGAGAGGAGGGAGGGCGGAGGGGAGGGAGGGAGGGCGGGGGGGAGGGAGGGAGGGAAGGCGGAGGGGGGAGGGAGGGAGGGCAGGGGGGGGAGGAGGGCGGGGGGGAGAGGGCTGAGCGAGGAGGAGGAGGAGGAGGAGGAGGAGGAGGAGAAGGAGCGGGGGGGGCTCCTCGACGGGATCGCAGCCCTCGGCGGCGGGGGGCTCGGCTCCGTCTGCTGTCGCGTCGAGCGTGGCCTCCGCTGCGACCTCGGGCTGGTCGGCGGCGACCGGCAGGGCGGTCTCGTAGACGCCCAGCTCGGCGATCCGCCAACGTGCCCCCCGGGCACGCTGCGGGCGTGGTGCACGGGTCCGTCGGGGGGGGAGGGTAGAGTTAGGTCGGGCCTGTCCTCCGACATGCGGATTTCGAAGGAACAATTAAATACTCTCAATATGCATATCTGTATAAGAATAGTCAAAGCATTGTTGAAACATCGTCCCCTGATTATGCTTGGGGCTGTCGTTGAAGATTCCTCCTGTGGAGGGGCATGCCCGAGTTAAAGGCAGATCGAACGAACGAGCGGGGCGTCTGGGTCTGTCTTTGAGGCCAGGCGAGCGGGGCCGTCGCCTCCAAATACTCTCTTCGGTATATGCTCAGACGCGCGCGCGCAAGACGTGCAGGCTGCAGGAGCGAGATGCCGGAAGGGCAGGAGAGCACGAGGTGGGAATCGGCGGCGAGCCCTGCGGGGGAAGTGAGAAGGAGAAGGAGGAGGAGGAGGAGGAGGAGGAGGAGGAGGAGGAGGAGGAGGAGGAGAGGGAGGGAGGAGGAGGAGAGGGAGGGAGGAGGAGGAGGAGGAGGAGAAGGAGACGGAGGCCCTGGGCCTTCTGAAAGTTTCCTGAGCCTTCCCCGAAGCGCGGGGTCTTCTAGGAAGTCTCGACGCCTTCTGAGGAGGCCCTCTCCCCCTCTCCGTCTCACTTCCCCCCTTCGCTCGCCGCCGAGGGAAACTGGGTGGGTCTCGGCCCGACGTTTCGAGAGGTGCGATTGGATTGGATTGGAAGGTGCCTAACGTAGACTGTGGTCCGTGATAATGCTTCCAATAACCGACGTGTAATGCCAGGGCTGACTTGCTGGGTCTCTTTTCTCGTGAAAGGCCCCCCAAAACTACTGCCGAACGTGCGTGCGTCCCTTCGTCCCCCTCCCGAGGCTACTGGGACGGCCCAACTCATCCTAAGCAAGCAGTGCCCGAAGCATCGAAGATGCCCAAGATGGCTTGCCAGACGGCCCGAGACGGCCCTCGAGCCTAGAGGCACAGCCACAAGAGGCTACAAGAGAGTGCCCAGACTGCCAACATTCGCCGAGCCCTTGGGCACCAGCGTAGAGGATGTCTGCCGCTCCGCAAACCCCTCTTCAGCTCGGCCTTGCCCGTGTAGAGGGAAAGGAGCAACAACGTCTCTGGGCGTCAAAGATGCCCCCACGAGAGCGCGAGGACGTCGCTGGCAAGATGTCCCAAGTGGAGCGAAGAATTACGTCTTACGGCCCACTTGGAGGGGCGTTGGAAAGCCGTCACATGCTATGGCTTCCTGGGCCTGGAAGACAAGAAATCGTCGCATGGCACGGTCATCTCAAGAATGCGGAAGAGCGTGTCGCGTGTCGTGGCTCTGTGAAGCCTAGTGTCCCCCATACAGGCGGATCTTGGCAGACAAATTAAGAACAGTGAAAGCATTATCAAACATGGTCAAACACAGTCGAAGACACCAGACTGTTCTCTGACTACTTCTGAATGCTCCTCCTCACAGCGCAGCCCGCTCGCGAGGCTGGGCTTAGGTCGGGCATGCCCTCCTACGGGCGGAGCGTAACAGAACACTGGAAGGTCGCCCACCAAACTACTCGCGCATGGCCAACAACTAGTCGAACACAGCCTCCCCAGGCTGTTCTCTGACTGTTCTTGAAGACTCCTCCTGCAGAGGGCCACGCCCGGAATTGTTAGCTCAACAGGCGAGGAGTGCCGTCGCAGCAGAGAGAATCCGGCCGCGGGGCCCTCGATAGGGGGGTCGCCACATCAAGCGCTCCTCGGCACCGCTGCGGATGCGGAGGCCCAAAAGGGGGAAACCAACAGGCACCGATACCGCTATCGGCGGCGCTCTCACGATCGATCTCATGATATCTCACTGAGTCGACTTCACTATCTGGCCTCACGGTGGTCCTCACTATCGTCCTTTACCATCGAGCCCCTTATCGATCTCACGGTGTATCTCACTCTCGATTCCAACATCCATAGCACGAATTCTCGAGCCATCCACTGATTGGGGTCTTTCACTGGTGTACTGTATCGCCGATTCTAGATGTTTCTCCCCCTATGCCAGTCCCCCCCTATCGTTGCCCCTCACACTTGCATCTGTCGGAGGCGAGCGAGGAGGGGAAGTGAGAAGGAAAAGGCCCTCTCAGAAGGCGCCGGGACTTTTCAGAAGCCCCCATGCGCCCTCGGAGAGGCTTTTCCTTGGTCTTCGGGGAAGGCCCAGAGAGCTTCTCAGGAGGTCGGGGGACTTCTGAGCCTTCTGAGAAGGCCCGCCCCTTCTCGCTTCCCCCCTAGGCTCGCCGCCGACGCTACTCTTAGGTCGGGCATGTCCCCCATACAAACGGATGTTGGACGAAAAAGTAAACAAATAGCCAAAACATACTCAGAAACAGCCAAAGATAGTCCAAACATTTGTCCCCAGACGACTTTTGACTATTATTGAATATTCCTCCTGTAGTGGGACATGCCCGACTTAACGCTACTCCCCAGAACTCTCCTGGGGTGCGTTCTGCCCAGGACTTCGAGGCGAGTCCAGCGGCGGCGACGAGGGCCTCCCAGGAGGCCCACAAATGGGAAAACGAGGCAAGGGCAGCGGTATCGGCACCTTCGCTCCCTCTGAGAAAGAGCTGCCGCAGGCCACTGGATACTGAAGCCACGCTCGGTGGTCCTCCTGGAGCAGTAGATGCTCACCCACCTCGCCCAGGTGTCGGGCGGCAGCGCGGTGGACACCCAGCCCTCGCGGCCCGGCTCCTCGGCCAGCGGCGTCCACTCCTCCAGGTCCAGGCTGCCGTTCACCGTGTACGTCTCGCAGCACGCGAACTCCCAGCGAACGTCCACGCGCAGTACGGCGCGCTCGGCGCCCAGGTCGACGTAGATCCACTGCTCGTCCTCCGGCTCCGAGACCCAGCGCGTGTCGGGGCTCCCGTCGACGGCGCAAGCGGCCTGGCAGTCCCCTTGGGTCAGACGAGAGGGAGGTGGAATGAGGAGGGGGGAGCCAGGGAATCAGCACCCGCAGCTGAGTTTCCTGCCCCCTCCCGGCGACGGAGGCATGGCGCCAATGTATGCGGCGCCGGCACCAAAACCAGCTGCACGCAGCAGATTTCTTAAGTCTCCCCTTTTCTGTTCCCCCGCTCCCATACATCCGACGATCTGAGTCTTTCAATGCGCGCTCCCGAGGATGTCCCGGCCGCGCTTCCCAGGGCCAGCTTTGCCCCCCTGGCTTCGTTCGCGATGGCCCCTGGGCCCAATAACGGGCTCCAGAGCCGAAATTGAGGAAAATCGCTGGCATTGAAAACAAATTAGCCTGGCGAAAGACCCAACCATACGCAGTTGCGAGTGCCGCAGTTGTGAGCTGGGGGCAAAACCACATGCGAAACCTGCCACGAGGGCCTTCGGTGGAGCTCCGTATGGGGCCGCGAAACGTGAAGGGTGTGCCGACATTGAGGGTCGAACCGCATGCGAACCCCGCCACTGGGGCCTTCGGTGGAGTTCCCTATGGCCTCACGAAACGTGTGAGGGATGTGACGAAATTGGGGATGGAACCGCATGCGAACCCTGCCACTGGGGCCTTCGGTGGAGCTCCTCATGGGGCCACGAGACGTGTGAGGGGTGAGCCGACATTGGGGGTGGAAGCGCATGCGAACCCTGCCACTGGGCCTTCGGTGGAGTTCCGTACGGGGTCGCGAAACGTTTGAGGAAGTGCCGAACTGGTCGAGGTCGAATCGCATGCGAACCCTGCCACTGGGGCCTTCGATGGAGCTCCCTATAGGGCCACGAAACGTGTGAGGGGTGTGCCGACATTGGGGGTGGAACCGCATGCTAACCCTGCCACTCGGGCCTTCGGTGAAGCTCCCTATGGGCGGATGGCAGAGGCGAGGATTAGAGGAGAAAGAAAGAGGAGCAGGAGAAAGAGAGAAAAGGGAAACGGGAGGAAGGAGGAACGCGGGCCGCTGTTTCCTCAAAACGAGGACCCAGCACCACAGGAATTTTCGTGAAAAAAAACGTACCGTCGGAGATCTCAGGGATACGAAAAGGTACCCATACCACTACTCCCCGGACCTTCCAGGGTGCATCCTGACCAGGATCTCGAGGCGCATCCACCAGTGGCGACGAGGGCCTCCCGGGAGGCCCAACACTTGGACGCCCGAAATGGGCACGGAAAGAACGGGTACAATGCCCGACAACAAATGTTGTCCCAAACCTACAGCGGCCACTGTTGGGCAGGCGGCCTTCTGTCTCAAACGGACACAGGCCGCGGCGGCGCGGACAGCGAGTCCTGTTCAAAATGAACAGGCACTGCTCTTGGTCAGTGTCCCCACTCCTTCCGGACCCAACTCGTTCGTGCAGACAACAGTGCGAGAAACGGGGAGGAAAACCCCCGGTACTCGTTCCCGTTTTGAGTTACGAATGTGCTGGGTCCTCGTTTTGAACACGTTCGACGTCAGAAACACGTTCGTGTGCTGGGTCATCGCCCAGCACACGGTACTCTCCCAGAGAACGGCACGGTACTCTGCCCTGTCATCGTTTCTCGCCCTGTCATCTTCCCGGGGCACCCGTCCGGCAACGGGGAAGGGCAGCAGTCATCGTCGGCACCTCTTCCTCCTCCGAGGCCTGGCTTCTCCACGGCGCGATCCTCCGCGGCGGCGGAGGACGCCTCGGCGGGGCAGCCGAGCGCCAGGTTGACCCCCCACTCGTCTCCGGCCTGCTGCTCGCCGGCCGGCCAGTCGGCCTCGGCCTCGGGGCAGCCCTCCTCCCGCGGCCCGGCGCCGTCCTGAGAGGGGGACCTGCCCGCGGGCCGCGGAGCAATCGCGGCGCGAGGTCTCTCACCACGGGGGCGCTCGCCGGGCCCTGGGACTGTCACAACACGGCTGAAGAGGAAGAACTGGCCCCGGGGAAAGACGGGGCTCCCAGGCCCCTATCAGGAAGCCGCATGTCTGGGGAAGGGTCGGCGGGTGCCAGAAGTGCCCCTGGCCCAAGGTGCCCCCGGGACTGACGAGGAGGCCCCCCAGGGGCTCCAAGACTGAGCGAAAAGCGGGGGGCACCTTGGGTCAGGTCGGACGTGTCCCCCTACAGGCGGATTTGGACGAACAAATTTAAAATAGTCTCTAACAAGTATTCAAAATTCTTCAAACATAGAGGAACAATCGTCTTAAACCTTGAGCAACCGCCGACACGGGGGGGGGACTGGCTCAAAGGGGGGAGGGGGAAGGCCGTCGACCCGGGGTCGGCGAAGCATCGCCGACAGATCGGCGATGGGCCCCCGTAAGCGAGTCCGCGCGCTCCTGAGCGGGGCGGCATGTCACGGCCCTGTCGTTAGGTCGGGCGTGCCCTCCTACAGGGAGCTCTTGGACGAAATTCTTGAAATGTGCAAACACATGTCAAAACTTGTTCTGTTAAACAAAAAACAAAAACAAAAAACATGAGCCGACAAAATCGCCCCCGGACTATTTGTTACTCTTTGGGAGCACCCCCGCCGTGGAGGGGCATGGCCCGACTTGACCCCCTCGGCGAGGAGGGGGGCGACGGCGGGTCGATGCGCCCCCCCCCCCTGAGGGGGCCCAAGGACACACACGTAAATACACCACACAAATAAAATGGTTCCCCCTATTTCCCCACATGTTCTGGGTTTCTGTCTCCCCCCCCACTTCCCATAGTTCCCATGTTTCCTGGGGAATCGGGGATGAATTGTGTCTGTGTGTTTCGTTTCCTCCTGACCCCCCCCCCCCCGACGCTGCCCCCCCGAGATGGGGCGGGGGGGGGCAGGAGGTCGGCCTCGGGGCAGCCCTCGGGCGGCGGGGCGCCGCCGCCTGCCGGCGCCTCCTCCCGGCGGTGCAGAAGTGAGGCCCCGAGGGGATGGGGCCCCGGAGAGCGTTTTCGTGCTTCGCAATACAGTCGAGGCGTTGACCTAAGGAACCCTAAATAAGGAACGAGACCCCTTTTATCATAAGTGAACCTTCGACTTCCCATCGAAAACTCAAGGACAACCTTGGGCAAGGTGTGGGACACGGAAGGAACACCGAGCCCCTCCCCAACGAAAAGGGTTCCTTCTTCAGCGCCCCGACTGTAGCGGCCGTCTCCGGCCCCAGCCGCTCCCCCCCCCAGGTCCCCCCAGGCAGGTATAACGTCGCGGTGCGTGCTGACCTCCGAGGTGCCTCCGGCCACTCCTGGGCAGTCCCGGACGGCGCTGGCGCGCAAGACGCGGCACCACTGGCTCCCTCCCCCGCCCTGCCCTTCCCCCCCCCCCCGGTGACGCCCGCCATCGCCCGAGAGCGAGAAAGACGCCCTCCTGAAGACGAGCACCCCGCTCAAAGCCAACCCGGTACAGTCGGGGCGTTGACCTAGGAACCCTAAATAAGGAACGAGGCCCCTCTTCTCCATAAGTCAAACTTCGACTCCCGATCGAAAACACAAGGCAAACCTGAGGCAAGCTGCGAAACACTCGAGGAACGCGGAGCCCCTCCCCAACGAAAAGGGTTCCTTCTTCAGGGCCCCGACTTGACTACCTACCAGACCACCCCAACCCAACCCGAAGACCCGAGTTTCGGGTTGGGGGGGGGTACGGGTTCCATATGTGTGTTTTCTCGATGTTCCCCGACCCCCCCCCACTGGAAATGGAGGGCAAATTGAGGCCTTCGGGTTGGGTTGGGGTGGTTTGGTAGGTGGTGACGACTGTACCCCATCCCGTCCTCGGGGCCCCATCCGCCAAAGGACCCATCCTCTGCACCGCCGCTCCTCGCGGCCCTCCCGCCCGGCAGGCGGCAGGGGCGGCCCGCCGGCCCCCGCGGGCGCCTCGCCCTCCGAGCCCGTGCTGCTCCACTCCGCGCCCGGCCCCGCCTCGTCTCCGCTAGCTCGGGCGCGCGCCGACGGGGGAGGCCACGAGAGAGCGGGGGGCGAGGGCATCCCATACCCTCTCGGGCCGTGGCACAGTCACGGGGACGGCTTCTGCCGACGGAGCGCGGCCTCCGGGCCGGGAGGGCGGCCTCGCTGGTCCCCGGGACCGCACACAAAAACAACACCCGGTCCACGAGAACGGGTCCAGACCTTCGGGGCCCAGACAAACGGAACAACATACATATACCTATATATATATATATATATATATAGATATATACATATATACATACATATATACATATATTAAAATAAAAAGGGCCCTCCCCGGGAAGCCCTCGACGAGGCACAGCTGCTGGACCGCAGCCCGAGACCACAGCGCCTCCAAGAGGCAACCAGCGTGCCTCCCCCAGACCGCCCCCTCCTGGGCGCCCATTGGTAGGAGGCAACTGCTGGAAGGCTCTCGTCGGAAAGAGTAAAGAGGATTTGGGGAGCTGTTACGCCGGAGTGGGCCTCGGACTATAGTCCAGACAATAGTCCGAGGCTCACTCCTGCTTATAAGCAGGAGTGAGCCGGATGAAGCGGGAGGAAGCGGGATGAAGCCGGATCCAGCGTGATTATAAGCTGGATTCAGCCGGATTAAGCTGGACCAGGGCGAGGGCAGAATTCGACCTCCCACAGGAGCTGCACCCGAGCGCCCCCGATCCTCCCCGCCTCCCCGCAGCCCTCACCCCCCGCTGGGCGCCCCCGACTGGCGCCCCCGCCCCACGCCGCCTCCAGCATCGCGGGCCGCCCCCCCCCCCCGCCGCGCCCGCGGGGCGCCCGCGGGGCGCCCGCGGGCCTCCACGGCCGGAGCCGCTCCCCCCACGCGGCGGCTGGGCAGCGCCGGGGCGGCGGCGGGGCGCAGCGCAGCCCACTCGCGCGGCTGGGCTCAGGCCGGGCATGTCCTCCTACAGGCGGACCTCTAAAAGAAGAATTATATATATAGATATAGGTATAGATATAGATATAGATATAGATATATATATATATATATAGATACATATATATATATATACATATATACACAAAAAAGAAACAAACAAACAAAATCTCGAGCAACACCCGAACACGGCCAACAGTGGCCGGAGACAGCGGCCCCCGACTCTTGCTCTGACGATGTCTGGAGATTCCTCCTGTAGAGGGGCATGCCCGGCTTTGACTGAACCCTTGCCGACCACATCGGCCCGTCGGCGGCGGCGGCGGCGGCCTTGACGACGGCCGCGGCAGAGGCAGCGCTGGTGGCGGAGGCGGCGGCGAGGGCGGCGGCGCCCGTGGCCTGCGGCGGCGGTGGCGGCAGAGGCGGGGACTGATGACGGCAGCAGCGATGGCGCTGCTTTTCGGTTCTTGATGTTCAAAAGTGTTTTCGTCATTCGTATTTGTCTTCTCGTTGTGATTCGTGATTCATGATTCGTCTTCTCATTAATTGATGAATGTCCTTTTGCTCCTATTATACATTCGTCCTCATCTGCGCCTCTTCCTTGTTATCCGTCATGCTCCGTGATATATGTCCTCGTCTGTTGCTTCATTCAGTCGCATGATCGTTGGACTTCGTATTGCTGTTGCTTCTAGTATTATTCGCATTGGGATTGTGTTTAGTGTTCGGCGTAATAGCTGCCACTGGGCCCGAATGGTGAAGACACCACGACGGAGGGCTTTGGGCCGTTTTCGCCCTCCGAGGCCCGCGCTGGGCCCAGGAACCGTCAAGAAACACTGCTCGGAGATCCAGAACGCTCTGCTCAACGGGCGAAGAAAGGTATAAAATAGACTTTTTCGCCGTCGAGGACACCTGCCCCAGGGCGGCTGGAAAGTGTATACCCTTACGGTGGCACCGTAGGGGTATAAACTTTCCAGCCGCCCAGGGGCAAGTGTCCTCGACGGCGAAAAAGTGTATTTTATACCGTTCTTCGCTCGCTGATGATCCCACCAGGAATGCCTAGAGGACCTGGAATGACTAGAGGACTCCCAGATGGAGTCGGAGCAGATTGGGTCGGAGGATCGCGGAGAATCACAGACGTATCGCCGATGTTTTGGCGACGCATCGGCGATGCACTGGCGATGCACTCGGCGATGCATCGGCGCCGACGGCGTGGACAAGAGCGGGCTCCACATAGAGCCGCATCGAGCCGCATCGACGATGCATTCGCGATGCGGAGCGGATCTTTCGACCACATCTACTCGGACCTCACCTGCGAGAGCGATTATGCGCAATGGAAAAATAATCCAATCAAAAACATCCCCAGACATCCCCCCGGGCAACCCGGACAACCCACGCTGCTTGATCACGACCCAGTGGCCCAGTGGCGTCACCGCGACCGTCGTGCTTCCGCGTCGCATAATGTAACCTTGAACGCGTTCGCTGGCGCCGCCGGCGCGCCACCGCCGCATGTACGCTGGCACGGGCTACAGTCAACCCGTCGAAATATGGACGCACAGTGGGGATGCAAGGGCCCTGGAAGGCCATGTCGACACGCTGCCGCCAGCGAAAGCGGCCAAGGATGGGCCGAAGGGGAAGGATGCAAGGGTAACCTTGGAAAGTCGCTCAGCTTTCCTGTGCGGGCTGACTGTAAGATGGTCAGGAGGCGGCGAGTGATCAGGGCAGGGGAGGGTCCAGCTGAGGTGTTCTCCCCTGGCAGGCACCTCACCTCGGAGCCCGTCTGGCACGACACCAGACTTGCAGTCTGGTGGATCACGTCCTCACAGTGAAGACCAGCCCACAAGAAACCTCACACAAGAAACCGAACCCTGAGACCCCAGGACGTCCACTGATTTTCGGTGTGGGACCGTCACGCTCTCCGTGACAAGACCATCGAAACCCATCATCACCATCACCATCACCATCGCCATCACCATCAGCACTACGATATGATAATCACCACCCTCACCATCGTCATCAGCATCAAAACACAAAACACTCAATTGACTCGACTAAAACCCGCCCTAAGCACAGCCAGCATCGAAACCCAAGAACAACCAAGGGCACCCTAGAGGCAAGCTGCCTGGAAAGGGTCTCCGCTGCACTGTGCGGGTTATCGGCGGTGGACAAACCTTCCTTGAGTAAACCTCCCTTTAGTGACAACGGCCTGGGACCGAAACCGACGGACCTGGACCCGCAAAGACGACGGCCGCGACGCCCTCTCGCGAACCGAAAACGGCCAATTCGCTAATCGACGTGTCAGGGTAGGAGGTCTGTCCACCTCCGATCCGCTGCACTGTGCGGGTTGACTGCATCTGCGGAGCCCCCGCGCCAGGCCCCCGCCGAGCCTCTCTGGACGTGCGGGCTCGCGAGAACCCCGAGGCGAAAGCCCGAGCCGGGCGAGCCGATCGCCGACCAGCCACCGCGGGGCAGCTATGCTCCTAATCCTGTGTGGGGGAGCCAACTGTGTCGACGGCATCCCGAGGAGGGGTGCCGAAGCCGATGGCCTCGACACGAGGGATACAGCCGAGGTACTGTCAGGAGGAACGCCGAAGAGGGAACGAAGCTCCTTTGTGGGCCGCAGGAGCGCCTAGACGCGCGAGGACGGCTAGAGGAACAACTGCTCACTGCACCGACCTTGCAGACGTGCTGCAGCGTATGTATGCTTGGATTTCTGTCAATGCAGAACCCCGCAACTGCGAGCGGAAAACGGGGTTTCTCGTGATTCGTTTGTAGTCTTCATGCCTGCCCAACAAAACGAAACTAACTTCGGAATCCGGAACGAAATTCTCCACGACAATCCCGGCCCATCCCAGTGTGTTCCGAGCGATATCCGCTCTGCGATGCTGGTGCCATGAAACCATGGAAGGATCCCAGGAACAGCGAGCCCCTTCAGAACCGAAAGCGGTCCTCATCTCAGCGCCGCAACTGTAATCAAGACCGCAGGTCCCCTGGTTGCGGCTGGTCTGGCGCGGCCGCACCGTGCCCCCTTCCGAAGGTGTCGAGCGCGGCGCCAAGGTCGCGTTCGAAGCCTTGCGAAGCCTCGCCCCAGCCCCCGCCTCAGGGTCTCCAGCTCGCTCTGCGCCAGGTCGCGGTCTCGCTCCTACACGGCGGCGTGGTGGCGGATGGGGAAATCAAAAGGTACCGATGCCGCTACTCCCCAGACCTCTCCCAGGGTGCGTTCTCACCAGAATTTCGAGGCGGATCCATCGGTGGCGATGGCGACGAGGGCCTCCCAGGAGGGCGAACAAAGGGGAAACCGGCGACGGCTAGCGGCATACAGTCGGGGCGTTGACTTAAGGAATCCTAACTAAGGAACGAGGCCCTAAGTTCAACTTCGCCATCCCATCAAAATCGACAAGAAAAAACACAAAAAAGTGCGAAACAATTGAGGAACACGGAGCCCCTCCCAAACGAGAATGGTTCTTTCTTCAGCGCCCCGACTGTAGGTACCTTTTCCTCCTCTGGCGAGAGGGCAGACAGCACGCAGGAAAGGACCGCCGCGGTACCTTTTTCCTCTTCTGACGGGAGGGCAGACACCTCCTCCTCCTCCTCCTCCTCCCCCTCGTCCTCTTTTTCTTCTTCCTCCTCTTCTTCTTCTTCCTCCTCCTCCTCCTCCTCCTCCTCCTCCTCCTCCTCGCCGCAACCAGCTCCCGCGGCAGGTCAGGGGGCAGAGGTACCTACCGGTCGTATGGCGGGGGCGGTCTGACACTCTCGCCCCCGCTCGGCCCCCTCGAGGCTTCCTAGTACAGTCGGGGCGTTGACCTAAGGAGCCCTAAGCAAGGGACGAGGCCCCTTTTCGTCCATAAGTTGAACTTCGATTTCCCATCGAAAGCCCAAGGAAAACCTGAGGCAAACTGCGGAACGATTCAGGAACACGGAGTCCCTCCCCAACGGAAAGGATTCCTTTTTCAGCGCCCCGACTGTAAAGTGGCCGCTCGGGTTTGGGTGAAGGAGTGGAGTTCCAAAGCGAGCCTACGATAAGGGTGCGAGGGCATTGGAAGGCCACGTCGAGACTTTGCGGGCGGGGCGCGGCCAGCGAAAGCGGCCAAGGATGGTCCGAAGGGGAGGCTTGCAAGGGTAACCTTGGAAAGTCGATCATGATTACTGCTCG